CCTCCCGCCGCTGTCGCCTGACCCGTCCTCCTCCTCCCGCCGCTGTCGCCTGACCCGTCCTCCTCCTCCCATCCAGAACTCTTGTGGTTCCTTCAGATGTAACGTTGATCACCTTCCCTGCGCTGCCGTGTTATTTTTATAGAGAAGAAGCTTTCTCCTGGAAACCCTTCCAAACAAACCATACGTGTTCAGTCTTCTAATTTCGCTCCTGCGGCAGAGTCAAGCGGACCAGTTGGAAGAGATTTTGGATTTGTCTTGTCCGACTAACAAAGGTCCAGACCAGTTGGTGGTCTGGTACCTGGTTAGTCCACTGTTGGGAGGGGAGAAATGTGACGGACTGAACCGTCACTGGGGCTGGGGGAGGAGCCTCCTTCCTACGGACTATGGACCAGAACGATGGAGACCCCCCTCAGACCTCTTGGGGTTACATGGAACCATTCTACTAGGATACATGTGGAGTGGATATACTGTCTCCCCCGACATTACAGACACACACATCGCTGTGTCCATTATAGGCAGCAGGCTGGCTGGGGGAGGGGCCATTGTTTGCAATGAGGGGATTAAGCTCCTCCCTGATTAAGGACATTCATCCCACAGAGTGTCTGTGCATGAAAGAATTCCAATGCGGCCCCCGGCTGTCTGGGGGAGGGGCCACACTGCACTCTAATCTGATCCTGTCAGGTATAAGCTCCGTGCGCTTCCTTCTATAAAGCAGATCTTGGTTTCCACCTCAACATCGGTGTTGTCTGATGATTGGCGGGTTAGCGTTCTGTCCTAAGATACTGGTTCTGTCCAATAATTAGGCAGTTTGGGCTGAGGACACTGGGATTCGGGTTCCAGCGGAGAGGAAGCTGATTTATGACGGAGGTCCCCAGTCGGGGTACCAGGAGGTCCGTCATACCACGTGTTGTTATGTGTCACGTGTTGTATGACTCGGTGTAATGTGTCACGTGTTGTATGACTCGGTGTAATGTGTCACGTGTTGTATGACTCGGTGTAATGTGTCACGTGTTGTATGACTCGGTGTAATGTGTCACGTGTTGTATGACTCGGTGTAATGTGTCACGTGTTGTATGACTCGGTGTAATGTGTCACGTGTTGTATGACTCGGTGTAATGTGTCACGTGTTGTATGACTCGGTGTAATGTGTCACGTGTTGTATGACTCGGTGTAATGTGTCACGTGTTGTATGACTCGGTGTAATGTGTCACGTGTTGTATGACTCGGTGTAATGTGTCACGTGCTGTATGACTGTCTGAGACCTGCTGAGGACCCGATGATTTGTGTTCTGGTCAGAGAATTCACAGAGGGTGTACTTACTTTTTCACCAATTATATTAGTACATCAATGACAACCAAATACACGTATCACATGATCATGTCCAATCATAGCACAC